GTAAATTGTATCGACAGGATACTTGAGCTGAAAGCGCGTTTGGTATAGGCAAAGTGCAACAAGTTTGTTAATCTCTATTTCAAACATATCAAAAAACAACGCCATAAGCGTTAAAAAATGCTTCTATGCTGAAACGTGCTAAGCAAAACATTGCCCTTGCAATAACTCAAAACTCCACAGCGGGGCAGTCATTCAGCAAGTTCAATGGAAACAGTGAAGCTTCACTCTGGCTAGGCGAATATCGAAGGGAGCTCGGGATGCCAATTCTAAATTTGGATTTTTGCCACACAATTACGCGTTTCCTACCCTGCGAATAATCAGTGGCACAACGCGATATATTTCATGTACTCGCTGTTGGTTTATAATAGAGTTCTTGCATCTACTTATTTCTCTGCGTAACGATGACTAAACCAACAAGTCAAACGGTAGAAAGCATTGACAGCTGCAATACATTGTTTGTATCAGATTTAATTCTTCGCCATCTGCAGTAAAGTTCGGTTTATAAGGAGAAGTGTGTCATTCAAGTACTTCTACTGTAGTGCATTTTTCAATGCATGCGAGATAGAAATGAATCACTGTCAGGTACTGCAACATGGTTCGCGACGAGGATGCGGCTGTTTCAGCAAAAAGAAGGACTAAACTTTTTTTAATATGGATGCTGCTTGAATATTATGAAGTAGCGAAACAAAATGCATCTGCATCCATGAGGTCTGCTTAAATGACGACGAAATGTTAAATGTTAAATGGGTTGCCTGAACTAACTGTTCGAAATAACGTAAAAATGAAACTCTCTTTCTTGTATATTCAAACTATAAAATTGTAACGAGCAAAATCAAAAATAAGAAACTCGTGCTATTAACCGCTGACAAAGGTGTGAAAACAGACGCAATTTAAAGGACAGTTTATGGAGAGAAGATTTTTCATCATCTGACACGTTCAAAAATGTTCCACGGATAGAAAACATGCCAGTCTTCTGCCGAAAATCACTAAATTATTTAATTTCCTGCTCAGCAGGCTTGAGAAGTAGTAGATATATAAAAAACAAGCTTAAAGAAGGTTGATAATAATTTGATTAGCTGCGTTTTACCACCCCGCGATTACAAATCTTCTAATACTGTTCCAGAATAATATAACAAAATTCACAGATTGCCATATCCAGAAGGTGCTACAACCACCTGCAAGCAATTATATGAACAGTTTTTCTCGAAAAACAATTGATAACCTTATTATTTTATAGAAATAGGAAAAATGGAAAGAATGGTATAAAAATGCACGATTCAGCGGCAGTTTTAAAGAAAACTGAGATGATGCTCTTTGTCCCTGCAACGCACACTCTGCCTACGATTCGCTAAAATTTTTTGTTTAGTCATGCATAGTAGATGCATATAAGCATTTGTGTTCTGATCGTAGTTCAAAAAGCTGTTGGAACAGATGGGATTTGTTCCTCTTCATTTTTGTAGTTAGTATTGCGAAACCTTTGTTGTGTTTGATCATCGTCCGAAGCAGTTTGCATCAATAGAAAGTCTACAGCTTTCGATACCTGGAATATTGGTAGCTATGCATCGTTATTGCTATAAGCAACCAATAATTCCATCGTAAATAAATTCCATTCTTCGGCGAAAGCGGTTCTTTCTCCAGCTTCTCCTTCTAAAAATTGAACGGTTATTGTGCTTCTGATCCAACATTTCAGTGGTGATCCAAGTGCTTAAAGTCAAATTAAAGGGTCAGAAATTTAGCTCCTAGCATCTCAGCTAGGTTTCTACAAGCAGCCGTTTAATACTTCTTTATTTCATTGGAATGAAGATTATCGGTTAATCACAAGAAGAATCTCAGCAGTTGTTAATGTTTTCTTTGTTTGATCAATTAAAAAAAAATTCAATTTTCGCCATAGCATTGCGCAAGCTCGCAACTCTTACTCTGATTTTTTTAACTTTAATGTGTTTTGCTCTGCGTCAACGCAATTCGTTAACAGTTAGTAGTTGGAGTACTTATCAACTATTTAAGTACTGTACATTTTCGTATGCGGTCTTATGTTTGCATGCGTTAATGATTCTCGACATATTAGTTAATTGAAAAATTGTTGCTTGATAAATTGCGGGGTTGTACGCTGATTATGTTTCGTTTATGTCATACACAGTCTGATAAGAAGAATTTTAAAATGGTGTTCGATGAAGTGTCTGCTCTTTACTTTGCGGATTTTATATTGTAGCGTCAATCGGGCTGTTTGTAAAAACGGTGACTTTGTCCTTATGTTTT